ATTATCCCCGGTAGAAGATTATCCATACCGGGTATAATAAGCTTATACTTTCAGTACCCAGTTATGGATAAATATTATCCCCGGTAGAAGATTATCTATACCGGGTATAATAAGCTTATACTTTCAGTACGCAGTTATGGATAAACATTACCCCCGGTAGAAGATTATCCATATCGGGTATAATAAGCTTATCCTTTCAGTATTCCGTTATGGATAAACATTGCTCTCAGTAGAAGATTATCCATATCTGATATAGTAGCAACTTACGCAGCAGCTTCCGTTCTTCTATAAATAGAAGAGATTTCAGTTCATTATGTACATCAGTTTGAATTCGAATAATATATCAGTTTCTCTCTATACTTGTCTTTACTTTATAGTCTTTATTTTATAACACATGTAATCTAATACAACAACATGTTCGTCCCACCCAACTCTCATTTCTATATCGTACTAGATAGTGTTGTCCGTGCGATGCACGGGCCCAACATGGAAAATTAGAATGGTAATACACACGGGCCCAACATGGAAGGATCAATTTAGATTAGAATGGTAAAATATGCGCAGCAGCGAAACCAAAATTTCAACTTTAAAGATAAATTTTAGAACGACATTGAGTATTAATAATTAAATTAAACATTTAATATTAAGAGTACTTAATAAAAAATTTAACACATTATATTGTTTGAGCTAAAGCGTCTAGGTTTAACTTAACTCATATCTGGCCTTCTAGCTTCGCCTCAAAGTTGAGGCTAGCACACTCTGATAGTAAAGAAAGAAACATATACTGTATATCGATAATTCCAAATCTTAACCCTGACTACCACCGGATGTTTAATTCGTTCCTTTTTTCAGTATCATACTGCTTCATTGCTAGCTCTCGGCGCGCCGGTTCTTCGATCTCGGGCACAAACCCACCTTCATCCTTCAAGACTTAAAGCTTTTGCTCGCTACCAAATCATGCTATCAAGGAATTGCCGTAATCGTTGCTTGGGATTTAATTGAGGTAACGCAACCACAATAACCTTAATATTATTTATGGATAAATGTTTTTCTCTGGTTGTAATTTAGAAATTTTGTCTATATGATTATCCTATATTTTAGAACGTTCTTGAAGGCAACTTTTTTTTGTTTAATTTTACTTTTTAGTTGGACCAAATTTTGCATCTTTATGTAGCTCTTTTCCTTCTTCCGATTTCTACAGTCTTCTCCGTCTCCCTCCTTTTTTCGCTAGATCCAGTTGTATTTTCTTAGATTCTTCCGCAATTTTGTATAAGATAATTGTTTTCGCTCTTTCTTCTTTTCCTCCTATTATGGATTTCGCTGTTCCTGTGGGTTAACAAACTTCAATTTGTTTATACTTGTGCGTATTTTTTCTTTTATTGCCTCCTTAGCTCTTAGTCACAGTAGGAGGAAAATTAAGTTTTACCCTCCATTTAGTTTGATTTTCAGGTAATGAATTTCTCCTGCTGCCTGCTGGTACCATCGAAGTAAGCTCCATTTTGGGGGAAAAATAACTCCTCTGTTGAAGCTTCAATTCTGAGAAAGGTAACACTTTGAGAATTTTCTAAAATATTTTAGCCGAACCAAGTAAATGCTCAGAGTGATTTGTCCCGGGTGTAAATAGGTTTGGAGTTTTCAGACCGCTGATTGGCAAATTTGAGGTACAACCCTTTTAATTACACTAATGAGTGGAAGTTCACATGGGCTAAATGATTAAAAGAAATAAACACATATAGTTTTCTTAATGTGTAGCAATTTCGATAATATGGAACAAAAAACTAAGGCTAAACTAAGAAAACTGCTGATTGTTGGTGGACGATAAATAAACACCACTAGGATCATTTTTCAGAAGATCCCCTTCTATGAGCAATTGATGAGGCAAGTTTGTCGTAGCCATTTTGCAATTGAATGAGTGAATCTTTTTTAGATTGCCATCTTTTGGTTCATTTCTGATAAAGAAGTGAGTCTCTGAGTGATTGCTTTTGCTCTTTGCTTTTTGACCTTTCACCATATGTCAATTTATTATTTCTCTTATTGCAGTTGTTGCGTTCCATTGTGTGGTTGCGGTGTACTTCTGTTATCCAGTACCGTTCCAACCGAAAGCTAAATTTCTTAGCTCTCATCATTTACATATAGGTATTGTGAGTTTTTGCCTAGGTTCTTTTGAAAATATTACTATATATACATATTAGCGATGTTGAACATATATTCACATTCAGGGAATAGGCGTCGACTGAAATGTCGAATAAAAATGAAAACTTCAAAAAAATACATGCCGACAAGAAGGCTAGGCGACACGAACTGTATAAAATGATGCAATCTGATAAAAAGAGGCCCTCCTAACACGAGCACGAGCAAACAAGGCTCAAACAAGCAGGCGACAACTTGCTGCCTCCTCACTTATTAATAGTTCTGCTGACGTATCATCCTCTATGATTGCTAATAGTTCAAGCGAGCAATGTGCTCCTTTCATGGGATATCCAATTCTATACGAAACAGGTTAGATAACTAGATTATCATTTCTTGGTGGTATGCAATTATAAATACATGTGTGTAATAATTACCATCAGAATGATATACTTACACTCGTTGTTATTATATGACAGGATCAACATCTAATACAAATCATGAACAATATAACAAAGTATCAGTAACAACCCAAGTGTCACCTGAATATATTATGTTAAAGACAGCTCCCAAATGTAAATTTTGCGAAGCCAAAAAATTTGAATACGAGTCGCCCGCATTCTGTTATCGCAATGGCACTGTTAAGCTAAGTTCACACCAAATACCAACAAAGTTAAGAAATCTATATCTAGGAAATACTGAGGAATCAAAGCATTTTCGAACCTACATAAGAACATACAATAATATGTTTGCATTCACATCCTTGGGTGTAACATATGATAGAAAATTGGCGAAGAGAAACAAAGATATTTACACCTTTCGTGTTCAAGGACAGATGTATCATTTCATAAATGACTTGATACCAAGTAATGAAAAAAGAAGAAACCTACAATTATATTTCTTTGATAGTGAAAATGAAATGAGAAATCGAATGACATGTTCCGATAAATTGAACGAGTGTACTGTGAAAAGTTTGATGGAAATATTAAAAATCAATCCTTACTCTATATTTTTAAAATCCTTAATAAATATCCCACAATTATCAGATTTTTATATTGCGCTTAAGTTTGACGCTGGTTTAGATCAACGGATATATAACCTCCCACCTACATCAGAAGTGGCAGGGATATGGGTAGAACAAGATACCAATAATTGTATCCCTACTCCACATATTCGAATTTACACAAAAGCGATAGAAGCCAGCTGGTAAATTATTATTACGGCTGTTATGAACCATTACAATATCCATTATTGTTCCCGTACGAACAAAATGGTTGGCATTGTGGTATTAAAAAACTTAAGCCTCCAACAACTCCTAGAACACAAATGTACTGTGAATACGAACAATTGCCAGCTTCTGCACCGCACCGGCCGCATCTGCGATCTCGTAGGTGCGAGATTTCCTTCGCACCTGCGGCCTCTGAGCCCTTCACTTCTAACCGCTTCTGCGGCACGACGACCNCCCGGAATCCACCCGAGGCCCCCGGGACCCCAACCAATCATACCAACTAGTCCCAAAACACATTACGGACTTGCTCTAGGCCTCAAATCATATCAAACAACGCTAAAATCACGAATCGACCTCCAATCCAAAAATCCAAGCTTTATGAACTTTAGAACTTCAAACTTCTACTTTCGAAGTTTAAACCTAGCAAATCACGTCCGATTGACCTCAAATTTTGCACACAAGTCATGTTCGACATTATGGATCTACTCCAACTTTCGGAATCGAATTCCAACCCCGACATCAAAAAGTCCACTTCCGGTCAAACTTCTCAAAAACCTTCAAATTTCTATCTTTAGCCAAATGACTCCAAAATAACCTACGGACCTCCGAACTCCCTTCTGATCGCGCTCCCAACTCCAGAATCACCATACAGAGCTACTCCCAGACTCGGAATCCCAAACGGACATCGATAACACTGAAATGCACTTCAACCCAAACTTATGAAATTTCTTCCAAAATGCTAACTTCCACAATAGGCGCCAAAACGCTCCCGGGTCATCCAAAACCCGATCCGGGAATACGCCCAAGTCCGAAATCATCATACGAACCTACTAGAACCTTCAGATCCCGATTCCGAGGTCGTTTACTTTGAAATCCAATCTTAGTCAATTCTTTCAACTTAAAGCTTTCGAAATGAGAATTCCCTTTTCCAAATCAACTCCGAATTCCCCGGAATTCAATTCCGACCATGCGTACAAGTCATAATACCTGAAGTGAAGCTGCTCATGGCCTCAAACTGTTAAACGACGCGCTAGAGCTCAAAACGACCGATCGGGTCGTTACAATTATAGGGATCTAAATATGTCCCACAGTAGCATGTTTGTGGTTCTTCTTATACTTCACACTGTTGGTTTGTTTTTGAAAGAAACAGAAAATGCTTTCAAATGAGTAGAACATCATTTTGATCTTTCCTTGATTTTTTCCCGTACTTTGGTACAAAATATAAATAGTATGGATCAAATGCTAGATTCTATTAGCTTTTATCAATAGCTATAACCAGAGTGGGCTTTTGCTTATTTACACCACACTGAAGATTTGATTGAAGGATATCATTGAATTCTACTGGTCTATGTCGGAATGGAGGGTAGAACTAATAACACATTCTATGATGATGCAAATAGTTATGAAATTACGGAAGTAAGAACTAATAGGCTGTTATATAACGGTGCAGCTCATGTGATAGAATATACAAAGCAGATAAAACTACAATTTACTATTGAATAGGTTTTTTTAACTTGGCACCACAAATTAAATTCTCAAATCTGGAAAGGATAGAATGAGCTAGCTGGACCCTTTATGTTTTTTTTTTTTTTTTTTTTTTTTTTTTTTTTTTTTTTTTTTTTTTTTTTTTTTTTTTTTTTTTTGCATGAGACAATATCTTGAGAATCTTGAGCTTTGATTTTGAATCACAACAGTTTTAAGTTAAAAAAAACCTCAAATTCACAAGATAGGGAGAATAAACTAAAGAAATAAAATACATGTCGGCGGTGAGAGAATTAAGGGAGCAAGAGGATGATCTACTCATCCCACCCCCACAAAGAAGAGAGGCAGAGAAACAGATAGAACAAAACTTAAACCCAACACAATTTTAATCAAAGGAAATAAATTCCTAAAAAACCCAACTTTTCTCAACATAAACTTCAAGGATCAGACATGTAAATTATTCAAAACACATACATATAAATCAATGCAGTATAATCATAAGGAACAAGAAAGAGAGAAAGGAGTAACCTTGGCGTTTGGAATGACCTTAACAGCAACTTGTCTTAAGTTCACCTTTCTTAGCAATAGCAGAACAAGTATACCCAAAATGGCCTCTACCCACTTCATCTCCAACCTCATATTTACTCTTAAACTGCTTAGAAAACCCAAAACTTTTATCCAAGTTAGCACCTTCAGTTTCCTCTCCTTCAGGAATAGCAGCAGCATTAGGCTTCACACTACCGTGCAGCCTTAAAAGCAAAGCCTTTATGTGTTTTGCCGGAGAAGGAGGAGGAAAAGGGCGTTTAAATAACCTCGCCGGAGTAGAATTACCACTCTTAGAACCAGAAGACTGACGGGCAGGAGATTTCTTGGATAGAAAATAACGAGCGGGGCTAGGTGAGTAAAAAGGGGAAAAAGGTGATTTTTTTACTTCATTGTTGTCCTTCTGTGGGTTTGGAGTTTCAAGAATCGAGAACAATGGTGTGAAAAAAAAGGGAGTAGAGATTTAGACAATGGTAGTTAGAAGATTGAGATTTCCTGAGGGAAGAAAACACTATGTATGTTATATGTGTGTAATGGATGGATGGAGGATGGGTAGCTTCGTTATAATGGATGGAGGGGGACTGAAGGAGGAGCTGCATTGGAGTAGTACTTTTATGTCGAAAGCCACGCGTCATTACTCCCCAAATTAACTATGCCCTAATTGGCTCCACTCTCCTGTGGTCAAGTCTTGTGGAATTCTCCCAATCGTCCACTCCATTGTGTAAAGGCAGAATATTTAAAAGACCCCTATGAACTTTGATCATTTTTAATGAGCGTGTACCTTAATTATATGTGATTTTAATTATACCTATATTTAATTTTTCGGATATTATTACTCATGTAACCTATTAAATCTTTATATTGTGAATACACACGTTGTAGACATTGAAATATTTGTCGATGTGGCTATACACGGGGAAATAATTTGAGTACCTTGTTAAAATATCCGACCCGCCTTCACAATTAACCCCTCAAGTTTAACTCATTTCCACAATCGACCATCAGTTTCATTTGGTCGATAACACATAGAAAACCTAGGGTTTCTCACCACTTCACTTCCATCAACGCTGGGACAATTGTGAGCGCTTGAGCTTGATTTTGGGAGTAGATTGGGTTCTCCGTTGAGGTCTGCTAAGTTTTAGATCATCTTGCTTTAGGGTAAATTAGAGCCGACTGTGAAGGAGCTAAAGGCTACTGGGTTTCTTTGATTTTCTCGCCAAATTTTCTACTTTTCACTCCACATTTGAAGGTATGTGCGCCTTTTTCTGTTAGTATGATGTATAATCAAATTTTTCCTTTGATTTGTGACTAGAGTTTGAATATATTTTGAAAAATAGTTTAAGGTTATGAGAATAACAATGTTTGCTCGCTCCGAAATAGAGGTTCATACTGCTGAAAAAATCGATAAGAATTTCCCGCCGAATAAAGACTACATCTAAAAAATCGTTCTCCAGAATTTTGCAGTAGTCCATGCAAATTTTAAAGAGCCGGCTTGCCACGGCTACAAAAAACTTTTATCTTGTTTCTTCCAAGTAAAAGAATGATTGTTATTTGGGCAAAAATAAGAGCCAAAAATGGCTTTCATGGAATTGGAATAACGAAGGAAGAAAGTGAGAAGAAAGAAAATGGCGAAGAATTAGAAATAAGAGAATAAATAGGGGTGAGAATGGGGATTGTTACCATTGGGGTCTTAATTTTTGGGGAAAAATTAATTTATTAGCGTTAGGGGATGGGAAAGGATTGGGAAAGGGAAATGTTAAACTGATGTGGCAAAAAAAAAATACACTCTCACCCGCACTCAGTCATTTGAAACAACTTTCAATGTCATGTGGTAGGATAGGTGGATAATAATATCCGAAAAATTAAGCGTAGGGGTAGCTAAAATCACGTATAGTTAAGGCGTACACTCATTAAAAAGGGTCAAGTTCATTGGGGTCTTTAACTATTCTGCCTTGTGTAAAAATTACTCTAGATTTGTTTGATTGGGAAACAAGTTATCACATAATTAATTATTCTAGGATTAGTTATCTCGGCCTCTCATAAAAATAATAAAAAAATATATCATAATTTCAGGATAACTAATCCCAAAATTAATTATAGAACGATTTTATCTCAGTCAAACATAGAATAAATTCATCTCAAATTTAATCTCGAAATTAATTATCCCTTATCCCATACCAATCGATCCCTAAATAAGTACTTTTCTTCCCTACCATATTGTACCTCATTGTGGCTTTCATAATTCTAATTCTAATGACTTTATGTGTAATTCTTGATAATATTTAAAATAATTGAGGGTATTTTAGTAAACTTATCAGTTACAGTACATCATGATACCGTTAAACCAAACAGCAAAATGTTATTTGACAACAACAAACAATACAATCTATCTAAACATTATATTCATAAAACGATAGAATACAATACGATACGTTATAAAACGATGGGTAACAATGATCCAAACAGAGTGTACATTTAAAAGTCAAGACCTTTATTTATTGCTAGAAGCCCCAATTTATGATCTTTCTCAATTCTTTATCTTGTCTGCTAATTTGCTACTATCTCGTAAAAGCAACGAATAATCAATTTTTTTTTTTGGCAAATCAAAGAAAGCTCCATTCTTCTCCATAACAGCAATTTCAAAGTTTAAATTGTAGGTTAGTCATACTTTTTGTTTCTCAATGTAGAAATTTTATTTTTTTCAACTCAAGTTACTTATGCTTATAAGTAAGCATATAATGGATTGTTTTGACTATTATTTTTGTTGGGATGAGGCACATCTATATTATTATTTTTATACTTATTTATAGTTTTTTGAACTAACTGTATGGGTTAAAATTAGATCAAAGAAATTCGACATGCAGAGACAATTGGCCGAGGTCGAGCAATGATCAATAAGGCCGAGGTCGGACAGTGATTATAAGGCCGAGGTCGGGTAGTGATCAATAAGGCCGAGGTCGGGCAGTGATCAATAAGGCCGAGGTCGGGCAGTGATCAATAAGGCCGAGGTCGGGCAGTGATCAATAAGACCGAGGTGGGGCAGTGATCTATAGATGTAACAATTAGTTTGCTTTGGAATCCTCAAAGGAAATATTCTACTGGATATTCCATCTAATTGTACAATTTTAGGATTTTTTAGGGATACCCCTTATAAATAGGAAGAGGGGACTTCCCAAAGGAGTTATCTCTACC